GTATGTATGTATGTATGTATGTATGTATGTATGTATGTATGTATGTAGGTATGTATGACTAAATGAATAAATGTGTGTATAAATGTTTGACTAAATGAATAAATGTGTGTATAAATGTTTGACTAAATGCATGAATGCATACACATCCACTCGTGAAAGACTGGACTCTCAATGACCGGGTTTAGACCATTGTCCGTCATAGATGCATCATAGATGACTAGCATGTAATGTCGATGTGATAATGACACCAAAAGATGTAATCAGGCAGCCAACATCATCGCATTCACATAGAATTTAGTCTGAGCAAAAAGGGAAAAATAAGTGGTGTGATGTTTTCTTTCAATTTATGGTGTTAGGCCACATGAAAATGGCTTCATAGTCAGACATTTTTTATATTGTTCTGTGGTTTTGCTTACCGTTGTCACAGGCTTGTTGCAAATTTCACAGTAACAGCACAGAAATTGTGTTTTTTGTGTGCTTACACACATTTCGAACCCCTTTGAGTAACAAGGCAGAATTAGAGTGTTTCTACAGTGGCCCCAGGGTCATTAATATGCACTGTTTATTCTTCAGAAAAACACAATAGGTAACAACACAGAAATGAAGACACAATTTATTCTGATAAATTGATTAGTTTGTTTATTGATTAAACTATTTAATTAAATAGTTTAATCAATACATACATATATATATTCAGTTTCAAGTATCCAATGAATGACGTGTTAATCCACAATACATTTTGAATGTCACTATTTTTACTTTTAGTTCATATAGACGTGTTTATATGGATTAAATCATCTTTAGTTTATAAAAATGCAAAAAAGAAATTCATTCGGGAGAAATGTTATCACATTTTTATGAGTTTATTATGATCCAGACATAAAGGATGATGATAGAAGTCAAGATCAAACATGTTAACAGTCTCACCCACTTTTTTCACATCTGACAATTGTGCGTCCAAGTCCCTAGAAAACAAAGAAAAAACCAAAACCAAAAAACATTTGTTTGAGCAGATAAGTTCATGTTGGAAATCGTTTCTTTAAAGTCTTCGAAATTTGATATTTAAAAGGGACAGGGAAGACAAGCAAAAGAGGCATAAATGCAGCTAAATTCAAGCTCCGGTTCACAAACATAGTCCCAGTCTCTTTGTCACACATTTGCACTGCAGCACATATGAAATAAACATTTCCTTGCGGAAAAATGATGACTTACATTCAGGGTACTTATGCTTCTGTATGAATCTCGCTTCTGTAAAACAGAGTTAAACATCAAATAGAGTACAATTTTAAAAGGCTGATGGAAAAACAACGGAGTATAAGCCTGAAAACACTAACACAACACAAAATTACACACACAAGAAGAGACAATCAAAGAAACCTAGAGATACACTTGTACCCATTCATAGAAACCTGAGTATACAGATGCATAAAAGCTGGGGAATTCCAAGAAAATGTACAAAATTAACTGCCTTACATTCATTTTAAAACATGATATAACATATTTGTTGTTAAATGTACAAACACATACATATTCTGCATGTGCATGTATATGTGTATATATATATATATATGTGTGTGTGTGTGTGTGTGTGTGTGTATGTATGTATGTATGTATGTATGTATGTATGTATGTATGTATGT